TATTATTATATTAAGTATTAAGAATCATTTTAGCATAAAATATCTGCTCATATTATTATTAATGTCTTCCTTTCAGAGCCCTTGCCCTAGTCCCATAACCGACAGACGACAGCCATCCGACGAATCCAGTAAGCAGAGTTCACCACGTGACCCGATCCTGAGCCCGCTGGACTCCCCAGGGTCTACCTCTAGAAAAGCCTTGAAGATGTTGGGTGTCGGGGAGGAAGACATTATTCGGTCTCGAGCATCCACAGTGGAGGGGTCCTCGACCCTGAGAAACCCCGAGCCCTTGTAAGTGCACTGCCTTTCTTTCTTTTCGGGGTAAAAATCGCTACCTTAGAATCGCAAAGTTCTTTTTCTTTTTAGAATAAAGTTGCTACTATAGAATCACAAAGTTCTCTTTCTTTTCAGTGTAAAGTCACTACTTTAGAATCACAAAGTTCTCTTTCTTTTCAGTGTAAAGTCGCTACTTTAGAATCACAAAGTTCTCTTTCTTTTCAGAGGAAATTCTCTTTCTTTTTAGAATAAAGTCGCTACATAATTGGAATATCAAAATCCTTTCTGACGTTTTTGGCTGTTTTGACTTTCTAGGACCATAAGGTCAGAAACTAATTAATGATGTCCTATCTGCTCTAACAAAATCGTAAGATTTTTCGGAGTCCTTATCAGTATATTCAAAAAATTGCATTCGAAAAAAGCTTTGCATGTTTTGAAACTCAAACATTTTAACGTCAAATTTCAGAAAAACTAAGTACTGAGCAGATAGAACTTTGTAATTCTAGGGTAGTGATATGGTTCAGGACGCAGAGGGAACAAGCAGGGTCGTCAATTTAGGGGCGTATACAGTCTTTTGTAAAATCTTAAAGCCTGTTGAATTTGCCTGGCTTTTCATGAAATAAATAATTCTCTTGTCTTGAATAGAAGTCGAGATAATATTTGCAACTGAAAGGGGATGGGGTCGCCTTGTGTCAGTATAGAAAAAATAAACCAGAGACAAAAGAAATGTGATATCCCGGGGGACTGTTGAGAATGTCATTGCAGGAAAAGAAATCAAGTGACGTTTTGCTGAAAGAATCCCCGCATGGAACGATCACAAATAAAACCTAGAAGGAAGAGACAAATAAATGCAGTTATTTCTAGAACCCTAGAAAATATTTAAAAGTTTTGAACATCTTACTCTCATTGGAAAAATAAAAGGCAAAATAGGCAGAGGTTTACAGGGAACAATTTGCTTAGAGAACTTGAACAGATGGGTGACTGGGACTAAACTATAGGTGTATCTAATTTTCCATATTATAATGTTTTCGGGTTGTTGTGGCTGTTGTTGTTTTTGTTGGTGGTGGTGGGGGTTTTTTGTTTTTATTATTGTTTTGTTGTTGTTGTTGCTGTTGTTTGTTTGTTTGTTTGTTTGTTTGTTTGTTTGTTTGTTTGTTTGTTTGTTTCTACTGTACAACAATGATGATGATGATGATGATGATGATGATGAT